TATAGTGTGGGTATGGTGTCAGCTGTGTATAGTGTGGGTATGGTGTCAGCTGTGTATAGTGTGGGTATGGTGTCAGCTGTGTATAGTATGGGTATGGTGTCAGCTGTGTATAGTGTGGGTATGGTGTCAGCTGTGTATAGTGTAGTTATGGTGTCAGTTGTGTATAGTGTAGTTATGGTGTCAGCTGTGTATAGTGTAGTTATGGTGTCAGCTGTGTATAGTGTGGGTATGGTGTCAGTTGTGTATAGTGTGGGTATGGTGTCAGCTGTGTATAGTGTGGGTATGGTGTCAGCTGTGTATAGTGTGGGTATGGTGTCAGCTGTGTATAGTGTGGGTATGGTGTCAGCTGTGTATAGTGTGGGTATGGTGTCAGCTGTATATAGTGTGGGTATGGTGTCAGCTGTGTATAGTGTGGGTATGGTGTCAGCTGTGTATAGTGTAGTTATGGTGTCAGTTGTGTATAGTGTAGTTATGGTGTCAGCTGTGTATAGTGTAGTTATGGTGTCAGCTGTGTATAGTGTGGGTATGGTGTCAGCTGTGTATAGTGTGGGTATGGTGTCAGCTGTGTATAGTGTGGGTATGGTGTCAGCTGTGTATAGTGTGGGTATGGTGTCAGCTGTGTATAGTGTGGGTATGGTGTCAGCTGTGTATAGTGTGGGTATGGTGTCAGCTGTGTATAGTGTGGGTATGGTGTCAGCTGTGTATAGTGTGGGTATGGTGTCAGCTGTGTATAGTGTGGGTATGGTGTGTCAGCTGTGTATAGTGTGGGTATGGTGTCAGCTGTGTATAGTGTGGGTATGGTGTCAGCTGTGTATAGTGTGGGTATGGTGTCAGGTGTATATAGTGTAGTTATGGTGTCAGCTGTATATAGTGTAGTTATGGTGTCAGGTGTGTATAGTGTGGGTATGGTGTCAGGTGTATATAGTGTAGTTATGGTGTCAGCTGTATATAGTGTAGTTATGGTGTCAGGTGTGTATAGTGTAGTTATGGTGTCAGGTGTGTTTCAGCATGACACACTGGTTGTGAGAGAGTAGTGAGCCAGCTGTGGAGAAGTTACCAGGTGGGAGCCACCGGTGGTGATGTGCCAGAGAGCTGGAAGAGGGCCGAGATGACACCCACAAGAGGCCACGTTGTGAGGGTAATTATAGAGGCATTAGTTCTCTTCGAGGTACAGAGTACAGTACCATGGTGAATGGACGGTTTGGGTGGAGAATACCTGGCCACAGTTGGTAGGGTAACTCTCTCCCTCTCTCTCTCCCTCTCTCTCTCTCTCTCTCTCTCTCCCTCTCTCTCTCCCTCTCCCTCTCCCTCTCTCTCTCTCTCTCTCTCTCTCTCTCTCTCTCTCTCTCGTTCTTTACTTCACACCTCGTCTATCTTCTCCCCTCTCCCTCCCTCAGTCTCCCTCCCTCCCACTCTCCCTCTCACTCTCCCTCTTCACTTACCTGCTTCGTCGCCCTCCACCGCCTGCATCATTCTTGGTGCTTTTTGTATGGTTCCCTCACCTCTCTCTCTCTCTCATTCTCTCTCAGTCTCTCTCTCTCTCTCTCCCTCTATTAATAACGATTTTTTCCCAATCTCCACCGCCCCCTCTGTCTCTCCATAATTTTTGATATCAAGTTTGTCCTCTCCATGCGGCCTGTTCCCAGGGCTCTCTCTCTCTCTCTCTCTCTACTCTCTCTCTCTCTCTCTCTCTCTCTCTCTCTCTCTCTCTCTCTCTCTCTCTCTCTCTCTCTCTCTCTCTCTCTCTCTCTCTCTCTCTGTCTCTCTCTCTCAGTGAAGTCTTTATATATACAACTGGAAGAAAACTCTTTCCATATCTTCCATTTGGTAATTATTTCCTTACACAAATTTCAAAGGCTTTTACAAGACGTGGCGTCCCCGGCCTGAGCTTTCATCAGTGTTGTTGTTGTGGCTCTTGTTGTTGTTGTGGCTCTTGTTGTTGTTGTTGTGGCTCTTGTTGTTGTTGTGGCTCTTGTTGTTGTTGTGGCTCTTGTTGTTGTTGTGGCTGTTGTTGTTGTTGTGGCTCTTGTTGTTGTTGTGGCTCTTGTTGTTGTTGTGGCTCTTGTTGTTGTGTTGTGGCTGTTGTTGGTAAGGAGTTGTGTCGTGTTGTAATATAGCGAAGGTTGTGTGTGCTGGAGCCTTAGTAACAATCTATATAAATAAAGATATAAATGTTCGTTAGTTCTAAATCGCTAATCTCCGAAAGTTCTTCATCGATTGCTTATACAAATTTCACACAACGTTCCATTCGCATCTGAGCGGGATTTTATATGCATACTATATAGATGTCACGTCTGTGACGGGAGAAAACATGCTTTTTGTTAAAAACTGTGTTTTTCATGTGAGGGAAATCTTCGAAACCTCTTTACCGATTGCTTTGAAATGTTGACATAACGTTGCATTCGAATAGGCGCGTGTTTTTATATACCTACTATATACATGCCTCACCTGTGACAGGAAAAAACATACTTTTTTGAAAAAAGTATGTTTTCTCTGTAATCTCTGAAAGTTCTTCACCGATTGCTTTGAAATTTTGACACAACATTCCATTCGAATACGTGCATTTTTTATATACCTTCTATATAGATGCCACACCTGTGACAGGTAAAAATATGTTTTTTTTTTAAACAACACCATCTGTTGCACGTAATAGCAACATACACTATACTAAATATGTTACGATTACATTTAATGTTTCCGATTGCATTGATAAATTGAATTTTCATAGATTTCTATTTATATTACTTTTTTTAATTATTTTGTGTGACATTGCATTGAAATTCAGCTGTGTTGTTTACCATACCGTTCATTTCGCGAGTAGTTTATTTTTTTAGTTTTTTCATTGTTTTTCATTTCGTTTTTTAACAGTTTTTTATATTTCAATGATGGAAACATCAGATCATTTGATGGTCCAAATTTTCTGATGGGAACATCAGATCATTTGGGAATGCATCGGACGGGGGAGTGGGGAGGACGAGGAGACGTGGAAAGGGGGGAAGGGTAGGGAGGGCGAGGGGACGGGGGAGTGGGAGATGGTGCGGAGGATGAGGGGATGGTGGAGAGGACAAAGGGATGGGGGAGGGGGGGAATGGGGGGGGAGTGGGGAATGGTGGGGAGTGGGGAATGGTGGGGAGGCGAGGAGAAGGGTGGGGGGGGAATGGTGGGGGGGGACTGGGAGACAGGGAAAGGTTGCTGAGCCACAGCAACGCGTGGCTGGGTACAGCCAGTATACCAATATACCAGTATATATCCCAGTATACCAATATACCAGTATATATACCAGTATACCAATATACCAGTATACCAAATACCAGTATACCAATATACCAGTATACCAATATACCAGTATACCAATATACCAGTATACCAATATACCAGTATACCAATATACCAGTATATCAATAATCTCTCAAATCCTTAACAACACAACTCACTCTAATCTCTTGTATGAAACTAAAATACAATAAAATACAAGTGTTTGTGTTGTATGGATGATGTGAAAGTTGTGAATGTTATAAATGTTGTTGTTGGTCTTGGTTAATGGGTGAACAGAGGCAGCAGGAACAAAAACACAGATCTTACGACAATAATACAACACAATTGAAACGACAAATGTATCGTAATTTATTAAGTGTATTTCCCTGAATATTTTCCATGTCGGGATCATGTCTCTCCTCTACCAGTTTGGACTCCCAACTGATACTCTCGGTATGAACCGTCTCCATGTTGTACTCTCTCTTATTCTCTCTCCTCTCTCTACCTCCTCCTGCTTCCCTCCCTTTCTACTACTCCCTCCCTCCCTCACTCCCTCACCTGCCACTCATTCCTCCCTCCCTCCCTCCCTCACTTCCTTTCCTCATCTCTCCCTCCCTCACCTCCCTCAATTACCTCTTCCTCACCACTCCTAACTTCTCCCTCACTCACTCCCTCCCTCTCCCCCCTCACACCCCTCCCTCCCTCCCTCCCTCCCTCCCATCAAATGCCTAGTTTGATGGAGCAAATTTCCTCCACAGATTAACATTATTATAAAAACAGTGGAGGTAATTATGTGCCCTGCCGGGGGGGGGGAGGAGGTGGGGGGAGGAAGGAGGGAGTGAGGGGAACAGAGAGAGGGAGGGTAACAAGGGGGAGAAACAACATGGAGTGTTATAGAGGTAACCAAGTGATGTGAACAAGATATATAATTGTTGGTCCACCGTCTCCCACACCAGATGTGTGCTCTCCCCTCTCTCTCTCCTCTCTCTCCCCTCTCCCTCTTCTCTCTCTCCCCTCTCTCTCTCTCCCCTCTCTCTCTCTCTCTCTCTCTCTCTCTCTCTCTCTCTCTCTCTCTCTCTCTCTCTCTTTCTCTGCCCCTCTCTCTCTCACCATCCACTCCTACTGCTGCCTCCCCTCACTCTCCCCTCCTTGTTTGGTGGCAACAGTGAGTTGTTTGGGGGTAACAGTGAGTTGTTTGGGGGGTAACAGTGAGTTGTTTGGGGGTAACAGTGAGTTGTTTGGGGGCAACAGTGAGTTGTTTGGTGGCAACAGTGAGTTGTTTGGTGGCAACAGTGAGTTGTTTGGGGACAACAGTGAGTTGTTTGGGGGCAACAGTGAGTTGTTTGGTGGCAACAGTGAGTTGTTTGGGGACAACAGTGAGTTGTTTGGTGGCAACAGTGAGTTGTTTGGTGGCAACAGTGAGTTGTTTGGGGACAACAGTGAGTTGTTTGGCGGCAACAGTGAGTTGTTTGGTGGCAACAGTGAGTTGTTTGGGGACAACAGTGAGTTGTTTGGGGGCAACAGTGAGTTGTTTGGTGGCAACAGTAAATTGTTTGGGGACAACAACAGTGAGTTGTTTGGTGGCAACAGTGAGTTGTTTGGACAACAGCACAGGTAACAGTGAGTTGTTTGGTGGCAACAGTGAGTTGTTTTGGTGCACAGTGAACAGTGAGTTTGTTTGTTTGGCAGTAACAGTGAGTTGTTTGGTTGTTTTGGTAACAGTGAGTTTGTTTGGGTGGCAACAG